CGACTGCCCTCCCCGCCACTGTGAGCACTTGCCCTACCCGCGCTTCCTGCGCGCCTGCCTTACTAGCGCGCTGCCACACTGCCCTGCCCGTGCTGCTACTACTGTTTCTGCTGCCTACTGCTGCTGCTACTTTTGCTCCTGCTACTACTGCTCCTGGCGGTGGCCAGATGCAGCTCCATCGACGTCCGCATGAGTCCCTCAACGCCCCAGCAGCTACGTGAGTGGTACGCTAGTTGGGGTTGTAGGGGTGGCCGCGCTGCTACCGCTGCTACTGCTGCTACTGCTGTTACTGCTGCTACTGCTGCTACTGCGGCTACTACTACTACTGCTGCTCCTGGCGGTGGCCAGGTGCAGCTCCAGCGACGTCCGCAGGTGAGTCCCTCACGCCCCCAGCAGCCCTTCGTGAGTGGTACGCTAGTTGGGTTGTAGGGGTGGCCGTGGTGGGAGTCGCCCTGGAGCGGTCGTTCGGAGCTTCTTGTAGTGACCACGGTGCAGCTGCAGCAGCAGTCCGCACGCGGTCCTTTCGCCCATCAGCTCGTGCAGTGTAACGCTCAGAGTGGAGGGTCACGGAGTACTGCTCGCTGCCCGTACGTCATTCGCACGGGTGCTCGGGCTGGTCAGCCTTGCGGGCCGATTGGTCACACAGAGTCCCGCTTGCTTCTCCCGGTCTGAGCGACGCCTGGCGCACAGAGTTTGGCGACGCGGCTGAGCTCCCCGACTGGGTGGAGATGCTTAGGCAGAGGGTAGATATCTTTGCTCTTGACTATGATGCTATCCTCACTGCCATGTATGCATTGCCTACTAGTGCTGAGGGTGCCTTGTTACCTGTGTGTGCCGCCTGACCCAGGTATAGAGTCTGCTGCTGTAGGTGCTGGTGACGCTGCTACTCTAGGTGCTGGTGCGTCTCCTGCCCCAGGTGCCGGTGAGGCTGCTTCTCTAGGCGCTAGGGAGTCCACTCCTCCAGGTGCTGGTGAGTCTGCTCTCTCTGGTACTATGCCTGCTGCGGCCTTGCGCACTTTCACCCTTGACTCGGGTGCTTCCCGCTCTTTCTTTCGCGACTGCACCACACTCTCGCCGCTCAGTCGGCCAGTGGCAGTCTCTCTGGCTGACCCCTCTGGGGGTCCAATCCTTGCACACTCCTCCACGGTTCTGCCGTGTCCGGCGGTCCCGTCTGTCTCTCTGTTAGGCCTCCACCTCCCCTCGTTCTCCACGAACTTGGTGAGTGGAGCTGACCTTCAGGACGCGTGGGTTGACCAGTTCACTCCTGGAGGTCAGCGGGTGACCCACTGTTCGTGTACTCGGACGGGCCGGCACCTGGCCACGTTCACCCGTCAGCCTGGGTCGAGCCTGTACACCCTGACTACCGTGTCTCCTCCGGTTGCTGAGTCTGGTCAGGTAGCTTCGTCGGGTCAGGTGTTTGCTGCAGCGTCCCGGTCTGGTCGTGAGTCTGCCCCCTGCTCGTGTCGCCTCTTGTCTCACCAGACTCTCCTCTGGCACCACCGCCTTGGTCACCCCTCCCTGCCTCGTCTCCGAGGCATGGTCTCCCGTGTCCTTGTCACTGGTCTTCCCCGGTCTCTCCCTCCCCTTCCCCCGGGGCCTGCCCCTACCTGCGTTCCTTGCGTCGAGGGGCGGCAGTGCGCCGCTCCTCACTCCTCCGAGTTCCCTCCGACGGAGGCTCCCCTGCAGACGCTTCACATGGACGTGTGGGGCCCAGCCCGCGTCCGTGGCCAGGGTCACGAGCGCTACTTTCTGCTGGTCGTTGACGACTACTCGCGTTACACCACCGTCTTCCCCTTGCGCCGCAAGGGTGAGGTCACTGAGGTGCTGATCGACTGGATCCGTGCTGCCCGTCGTCAGCTCAGCGAGAGTTTCGGCTCGGACCTTCCTGTTTTGCGTCTGCACTCCGACAGAGGTGGATAGTTTTCCTCCGACCTTCTGCGAGCCTTCTGTCGTGCGGAGGGCATCCGCCAGACGTTCACGCTTTCGGCCTCTCCGCAGCAAAATGGGATTGCTGAGCGCCGCATTGGCATGGTCATGGACGTCGCTCGTACGTCCATGATCCATGTGGCTGCTCCCCATTTTCTGTGGCCGTTTCGCGGTTGAGTACGCTGCGCATCAGATCAACCTTCAGCCTCGTGTCTCCTTGCCGGAGACCACACCTACTCTGCGGTGGACGGGGAAGGTTGGCGATGCGTCTGCGTTCCGTGTCTGGGGATCTCGAGCTTTCGTCCGCGACTTGTCTGCGGACAAGCTGTCCTCCCGTGCTGTTCCCTGCGTCTTCCTTGGCTTCCCCCCTGACGCGCCTGGTTGGCAGTTTTACCACCCCACCTCGCGCCGTGTTCTGTACTCTCAGGACGTCACGTTTGACGAGTCGGTTCCTTACTACCGTCCCTTCCCCTACCGCACTGCCCCCCCCCCCCCCCCCCGCCGCTCTTCCTCGCGCCAGGTCCTCCCCAGGTAGACCCCCTCCCCCCTCAGGGTCCTGCCCCCTCAGGTGTGTCCCAGGTAGACGCAGTCAAGCCTGTCGAGGTAGCTGTTGAATCTGGTGCTGCTAGGGGTGCTGAGCCTGCGGGTGCCGGGTCTGGGGGTACTGAGCCAGAGCGTGCGGAGCCTGGGGGTGTTGAGTCTGGGGGTGCTGAGCCTGGGGTTGCTGAGTCTGGGGGTGCGGAGCCTGAGGGTGCTGAGCCTGCGCGTGTGGAGTCTGGAGGTGCTACGCCTGGAGGTCCTTCGGGTGCTTCGTCCCGGCGGGAGCCACTCTCTCCACAGCAGCTGCGCGAGTGGTTTGCTCGCCGCTGGAGCCGTGCTGCTGGAGCTGGTGGTGCTACGGGCGCTGGAGGTCCTGCTGCTGCTGGAGCTGCTGGGGGTTCTGGAGCCACTAGTCCCGGAGGTGCTCATACTGGAGGTACTGGAGCTGCTGGGCCTGGTGGTGTTGCTAGGGCTGGAGCAGCTGGAGGTGCTGGAGCTGGCGGTACTGCTGGAGCAGGTGCTGCTGGAGGTACCGGGGCTGGATCTGTTGGCGTTGCTGGGGCTTCTGGCGGTCCTACTGGAGCTGGAGCTGCTGGGGGTCTGGAGCTGGAGGTGCTGCTGGAGCCGGTGCTCCTCTGGGTGCTGGAGTTGGCGCTACTGGAGCAGCTGGAGGTGCTGCTGGAGCTGGTGGTGCTGCTGGATTTGGAGCTCCCACTGGGGGTGCTGGTGCTGTCCCTGCTAGTTCTGGAGGCACTGCGCGGCCGCGCCCGTACTACGTTCTGCTCCTTCAGCAGGTTCTTGGTCTCCCGCCTTCTACTGGTCCCGCTCCTTCCTTAGAGTGTCCACCGCCTGTCCAGTCGCAGTCATAGTTATAGCCCGCCTCCCCACCACCTGCTCCTTCTCCTTACATTGGTCCGACCGGAGGTCTTGCTAAGCGTCGTGAGCCTGCGTCTCGTCCTGCGTCGCCTGTTTGTGCTGCTAGCACTAGTCGTCGTGGTTCGCGTCAGCGTCCTCCTCCTGTCCCTGGCACGCACCGGATGGCTCTGCGCCCTGTGAATTAAGAAAAACAGGAATGAAAATGACTAAGGGAAAGTTGGGTACAAATACAAACCCTAGAAAAAACTGTACCCCATATGTGCTACCCCACTATAGCCTACAGTAGCTCTGTCATATAAATCTGACACACCCCCATAGGCAAAGTGGGGGAGAACAAGGGGTCACAAGACCAGTCAAGCAAAGCAAAGCAAGCTCAGGGTGGATCACAAAGTCACCACACATTCTGAGCACAAGTTCAAGGCCACAAGCCAGTTCACATGCAGGATTACATATGTATATAAGGCTAGACAAACAAGAGCACGTGTATATATATATGCAACAGTACAAACAAGGTCAAGGGGTGAGCAAGTGAGGCAAGGTAGGCACAAGGCCCAGCTGAGTACAGAAACGCTGATGATCACAAGGCGCAAGTGCCTTGGTGAAGATATCAGCAGTGTTGGCCTGAGAGGCCACGTACGCAAGTCGCAGCTGACCACGCTGCTGTAGCTCACGAGCAAGGAAGTAGCGGAGAGCAATGTGCTTCGTTCTGTGCTCCAGTCTCTGCTCTCGACACAAGGCCAGCATGGCCTTGTTGTCTACGTACAGCACTGGAGGAGAACGAGGCGGCTCTTTGAGGTCAGTCAGCAGGTAGGTGAGCCAGCGAAGCTCCTGTGCAGCCATGGCCCAGCGTAGATCTCAGCCTCACAACTGGAGCCGAGAACAGAAGACGAGCGGGTAGCCCGCCACGAAACATAACCGGAACCAAGGCTGAAGGTGTAACCCTGTGACGACCGCTGCGTAGCGTGGTCGTCAGCCCAAGAAGCGTCTGCGTGCCCAGTGAGGACCACTGGACTCTGCCCTCCAAGCACAAGCCCCATGCCCGACGTACTGCACAAGTAGCGCAACACCCTCTTCGCTGCAGCCATGTGCTCCGGTCGGTGTCTCCCAGGAGCAACATAGCGTGCGAGAATGCTAAGAGGGTATACAAGGTCAGGTCGTGTGCAGGTCATCAGGTACATGAGGCAGCCAACAAGCTCTGGGTACGGGCCACTCGACTCTACGGACTCATCCGAAGGCAGAGCTGAGAGCGAGTGGCGAGTAGGCAGAGGAGTGGCCTGAGGCGAGGAGTACGTGAAGCCGAAGCGCTGAAGGACCTGCTGCACCATGTGTGACTGAGTCAGGGTAATGGTGCGGCGTGCTCTGTCCCGGGTGATCTGCAAGCCAAGGTAGCTGCGCAGTTCACCCAGGTCTGTGCACGTGTGTCTCTTCTGCAGCTCGGACTTCACGTGGGCGAGTCCAGCAGTGTCAGCTGTGGCAAAGACCAAGTCGTCGACGTACACGAGGATGTAGAACGGCGGCAAAGAAGTGTCGGTGCGCAGAAACAGCGACGGGTCGGCAGTAGAGGGAGCAAACCCAAGAGCCGCAAGTGTAGTCCTCAGTGTGTCGTGCCACTCACGCGGTGCCTGGCGGAGACCGTAGACTGGCCGCCGGAGGCTCCACTAGGTGCCAGGAGGAAAAGACCCAGTGAAGCCAGGTGGGCGGCGCAGCCAGATCTCCTCGTGCAGGCTACCCTGCAAGAAAGCAGTGCTGAAGTCAAGAGAGTGTAGCTCGTAGTCGCGGTGAGCAGCTACGTGCAGCAGTACCCGAAGAGTGGTCATCTTCGGGGTGGGAGAGAAGGTCTGAAAGTAGTCAACTCCCTGCCGCTGACTAAAGCCACGAGCCACGTAACGCGCCTTGAAGACAGGCGGAGAACCCGGCGGCCGCTTCACCCTGAAAATCCACATGCCACTGACGATGTTCGCCCCAGGCGGGGGAACCTCGTCAACGTAGGTGCCTGTGGACTTCCAGGAAGCCATCTCTGCGTCCATAGCTGCCTGCCACTGAGAGGAGTAGGGACCCTCTATCGCCTCCGCGTAAGAGCGCGGAGTCGGGATGTCAAGTGCATCCGGGTCTCCCTCAGGGGTAAGCAGTACGGACACGAGATGAGGTGAAGCAGCAGCCAAACACTGGAACTCCTCCTGCCTGTCCTCAAGGACGTCCGTGCCAAGGGCACACTCACCCCCGACGGACGGAGGACAGACAGACTCAGCAACAAGACTAGCAGCGTAGTCTAGACGACAGCGAGCAGCAAAGTCGACGAGCTCAGTAACTAGGGCAGACGCAGCAGTGGACACAAAGGAAGGGTCAGTGACAACAGTAGCAAGGAGACGTGTGACAGTAGGACTGGCAGCACGAAGAGAGTCCGACTCCGGGTCAGGAAGAGCAAGAAGAGAGGACTCAGGAGGAGAAGGCAAAGGGGCACGCAGAGGAGCAGTGGACGGACGCAGAGACATCCGGTGCGTGCCAGGGACAGGAGGAGGACGCTGACGCGAACCACGACCACTAGTGCGAGCAGCACGGACAGGCGACGCAGGGCGGGATGCAGGCTCACGACGCTCAGCAAGACCTCCAGTAGGACTAGTGTAGGGAGAGGGAGCGGGCAGTGGGGAGGCCGGCTGTAACTGGAACTGTGACGGGACAGGCTGTGGACACTCTAAGGGAGGAGGAGGACCAGTAGAAGGCGGGAGACCAAGAACCTGCTGAAGGAGCGGAACGAAGTACGGCCGAGGCCGCGCGGCGACTCCAGACACAGCAGGGACAGCACCAGTACCCCCAGCGGCAGCACCAGCGCCAGCAGCACCTCCAGCTCCGGGACCTCCAGCCGCACCAGTAGTACCCCCAACAGGACCGCCTCCAGGACCGACAGCAGTAGCCTCAGCGTCAACACCCTCAGCAGCTCCAGCTCCAGTCGTACCCGCAGGCCAGCAGCTCCAGTACTCCCAGGACGAGCACCTCCGGGACCCACGGCACCAGCACCCTCAGCAGCCGAAGAACCTCCAGCTCCAGCAGCACGCCTCCAGCGTCGGGCAAACCACTCGCGCAGCTCCTGTGGAGAGAGTGGCTCCCGCCGAGACGAAGCACCCGGAGAACCTCCAGGCTCAGCACCGCCAGACGCCACACGAGCAGGCCCAGCTCCCTCAGGCTCCGCACCCCCAGGCTCAGCACCCCCAGGCTCAGCACCCCCAGTAGTAGCACCCCCCAGGCTCAGCACCCCCAGGCTCAGGACCCCCAGTAGTAGCACCCTCCGGCTCAGCACCCCCAGGCGTAGCACCCACACGCTCAGCACCCCCAGAGTCAGCACCCCCAGGCTCAGCACCCTCAGCAGCACCAGAGTCACCAGTAATCTCGACAGGCTCGACTGCGTCTACCTGGGACACACCTGAAGGGGCAGGACCCTGAGGGGGGAGGGGGTCTACGGGGGGGGACCTGGTACAAGGAAGAGCGGTGGCGGGGGGAGGGACGGAGTGCGGTAGGGGAAGAGGCGGTAGTAGGGGACCGACTCGTCAAACGTGACGTCCTGGGAGGACAGAACACGGCGAGAGGTGGGGTGGTAGAACTGCCACCCTGGCGCATCAGGGGGGAAGCCAAGGAAGACGCAAGGAGCAGCACGAGGGGACAGCTTGTCCGCAGACAAGTCGCGGACAAACGCCCGAGATCCCCAGACACGGAACGCAGACGCATCGCCAACCTTCCCCGTCCACAGCAAGGCTGGGGAGGTCTCCGGCATGGAGACCCTGGGTGAAGGTTGATCTGATGCGCCGCGTACCGAACAGCAAACGGCCACAGAAAATGGGGGGCAGCCGCATGCATCATGGACGTACGGGCGACGTCCATGACCATGCCAATGCGGCGCTCAGCAATCCCATTTTGCTGTGAGAGTCCGGAAGCGTGAAGGTCTGGCGGATGCCTCGTGCACGACAGTAGGCTCGCAGAAGGCCAGAGGAGAACTCTCCACCTCTGTCAGAGTGCAGACGCAGAACAGGAAAGTCCGAGCCGAAGCTCTGCCTGAGCTGGAGACGAGCTGCGCGGATCCAGTCGATCAACACCTCAGTGACATCACCCTTGCTGCGCAAGGGGAAGACTGTGGTGTAACGCGAGTAGTCGTCAACCACCAGCAGGAAGTAGCGCTCGTGACCCTGTCCACGGACGCGGGCCGGGCCCCACACGTCCATGTGAAGCGTCTGCAGCGGGGCCTCTGTCGGAGGAAACTGGGAGGAGTGGGGGCAGCCCGCTGCCGCCCCTCGACACAGGGGACGCAGGTAGGGCCAGCCCCGGAGGAAGGGGAGGGAGGGACCGGGGAAGACCAGAGACAAGGACACGGAGGCCATGCCTCGGAGACGAAGCAGGGAGGGGTGACCAAGGCGGTGGTGCCAGAGGAGAGTCTCGTGAGACAGGAGGCGACACGAACAGGGGGCAGACTCAGGACCAGACCTGGACGCTGCAGCAAACACCTGACCTGACGCAGCTACCTGACCAGACGCAGTGACGGAGGAGACGCAGTGGTCAGGTGTACAGGCTCGACCCCGGCCGACGTGTAAACGTGGCCAGGTGTCGGCCTGTCCGAGCGTCCGTGCAGTGGGTCACCCGCTGACTCGCAGGAGTGAACTGGTGAACCCCCGCATCCTGTAGGTCAGCACCACTCACCAATTTTGTAGAGAACGAGGGGAGGTAAAGACCAGACAGGGTGCCAGAGGGGGCCGCCGGACACGGGAGGACAGTGGAGAAGTGAGCAAGGACAGGACCCCCAGAGGGGTCTGCCAGAGAGACTGCAACTGGCCGGCCAAGCGGCGTGAGTGTGGTGCGGTCTCGAAAGAAGGAGCGAGAAGCCCCCGAGTCAAGGTGAAGGTGTGGGAGGCCGAAGCCGACGCAGAACCTGAGAGAGCAGACGCACCCTAGAGCAGCAGCCTCGCTAGCACCTAGAGCAGCAGCCTCACCAGTACCTGGAGCAGCAGTCTCAATGCCCGGTCGGGCGGAAAACACCGGTAACAGTCACCCTCATCACTAATAGTCACAGTATACATGGCAGCAAGAATAGCATCAAAGTCAAGGTCAAAGACAGCTACACCCGCCCTAGACAGCTCACCCCAGCGGGGGATCTCAGTGGCCTCAGGGAACTGGTGACGCCAAGCGTCCGTCAGGCGGCCAAAGCAGCGCTGGGTGGAGTGCGCACCCCCGCACTGGTCACCCGCGCGGTCGCCGGTGCGGAGGACGTAGGTGCACGGACCAGTACCCCCAACCCCTCTGGCGTGCAGTGTACCACTCACGGAGCTGCTGAGGGGAGGGGATGTCACGAGTGCGCTGCTGCTGCTGGCGCTGACCACCACCGGAGCCGACCCTTTGCGCAGCGCCACCCCGACCAGCTCCACCTCCTCCGCCGCCTCCTCCTCCACCGCCGCCACCTCCGCTCCCACCGCCACCGCCGCCTCCGCCTCCGCCTCCACTGCCGCCACCGACACCTCCACCCCCGCCACCACCCCCACCGCCACCCCCACCCCCTCCACCGCCTCCCCTCCGCCTCCACCGCCCCCGCTAGCTCCTCCAGTGCCCCTGCCCCCCTTGCCCTTGCCAGGCGACGTCTCCCGCTAGGGGTAGACGGCGCACCGACCGACTCAAGCCCAACTGAGAGGAAGTGGTCCCG